AACCCTGGGCTGAGCTGAAGCTGCCCAGGTGCTGCTTGGAGGGGGTGCAGAAGGCTGCTCCCAAAGAAGAGCTGCCTGTGAGGCCTCAAGTACAGGCAGCACTGTCAGAACGTGAGCAGGCAGCTCTGCCTCAAGAATCTGAACAGGCACGAGGGGAGGAGATACTCAACCATCAAAACCACAAATTAAAGATTAAAGGACAGAGTATGTGCCGGTGTAAGGAGGTCCATCTGCAGCCAGGACTAGGACAGCAGAGGACATTGGGCCTGAGAAGGAGAAGCTGGCAAACTCCCAGGAGTCAGTGGACTGGTGCTGTGAACCTGCAGGTCTGACATCAGTAAACCCTTGGGAACTACATAAGTATCACACTACCTGCGTTGAAGATACCTCTGGGAGGGGATGTGAGCAAACACAGCCTGAGGTGGGCAACATGGGGACAATGCTATGTTGCAGCCCCAGCATTCATCCTGCCTGGATAGTGGGCAGCCCTTGGCTGGAAAGCTGGTCTTCCCGAGAAGGCAGACCTGTGTCCCTTTGATGTGCAGGTGGACTTAGAAGAGATTGAGACCAGCTGAGCTGACCCAGAGGAGCCGGGCTCTGGTATCCCCCTCCCGCACCCAAGCTTGCAGGCAACAGCCCATGCTTGTGCCTTGGTCAGTGAAGGACAGAGCCCAGCACCCTTCTGGGGACTATCCAGGGTCCCCCAGAACAGAGGGACACCCCCACAGCCCCAGGAAGAGGGGCAGTGGTTCCAGGCACTGGGAGAAGGAAGGGGGACACACGCAGTGCCACAAGCCCACACTGATGCCTGGGTGATGCCAGCCCTGTACTCCTGGTCCTGTTCAGGATACTGGATATGACAACACATTGTCCCCCTCCCAGGAACCTCCCTGCCAAGAAAAAGCCACCCTAGGATGCCAGAGCCCTGCCCCAGACATACAAACTGTGCTCAGCTGCAACCATTCATTGTGCAACAGGACAAGGAGACTGCTCGGGCAACATCCCGCTCCCCCCACAGTCACACCACAAACTTGGTCTTGGTGAGGGAGCCGCTTTTGGTGGCTGTGTCTGCAGGAGCTTGGTATCCGATGGCCACCTTCTGCGACAGGCCCAGGTGCTCCTTGTAGACACGCCTGGAGGAGGAAAGGGACTGTGTGAACAGAGCTGCATCACTTCTCTCATGGGCTCTCTGCCCAGGGACCCCATTCCTCCCCAAATTTGGCCCTGCACAGCTTCCCCCACAGAGCTGCGTTACCCAATGTGTGTGACCCCTTCCTGGTTCTCTGCTTCCCGGGTCCAGATGGCAATCTTGTCCCCCTTGGCACGGATGTTGATGACGGCCCCGCACACCTCATCACTGTACTCGTCAAACATCTCCCCGATGAGGCACAGCAGCTACCGGGAGGAGAAGGGGAGCCAAGGACAATCCTCACTGAGGCTCAGCACTACCAGGACCCTGTGGACCGCCCCAGAGGGGCCACACTCACCGTCTCCAGCCAGAAGCGGTCCAGCTCAGTGTGCCGCTGCTGCTTGGCCAGAGTGATGAGCCAGCGCCCGCCACGCTTGTTCTGGCTGTCCTCCCACATGGGCTCGATGCCATCCTAGGGACAGGAAAGGGGATGGTCAACAGTACCAAGCTCCTGGTCAGGGCCAGCTTGGGGAGCTGCAGGCACCCAGCCAGGCTTCCCCTCCAACCCCGTGGCCAGCCTCACCAGCACCCAGCATGTGTCTGTAATGTCAGGTGCTGCAGGGGATTCTGTGGGAGGCTGTGGCAGAGGGGGTGTCGCACCTTGAAGAGAGAGTAGTCACAGCCAGATGTGAGCTTGCTGGCAAGCTGGATGTGACTGTACAGCCTGCATCGGGCAGAGACAAGGCACCAGAAGAACATGAGAAGAGGTGACTCAGGGACTTCTGTTCCCCCAGGACCTCTCTGGAGTGGGCACATTGGGACACTTACGCCCAGAAGTCCTCCACAGTGCTGAACTTGGTGACAAGGCGCAGATTTGCATGCCACATCTTGCTTTTGTCATTCTTGAAGAACCATAGTGCCCACCTGGGGAGGGAGGGAAAATGGAGTGGGGTCAGCCATGCTGGCGACCCCTCTCCAGCTGCAGCAGCCCCCTCTCAGTGCTGGGAGAT